TCGGGGTGCTTTTTGTTGTGAGTCCCCTTGCCTCTCACAAATCGGGGTATTGTTTTCTCTATTTATTATAAAACTGAAAATTTTTTTAATCTTCATCGCTATTATCTTCAATTATGGAAATACAATTATTTTGTTTGAATAGGTCGCAAAGTATTTCTGCTGGTTTAAAAATTTTAGATAAGTATCTTGCATGAGACAGATAATAAACAACCGCGGCAATGTGTGAACAACAACCAATAGTTCGTCTGCCATTAGCACATTCACATGCGTAATGTGTCAGACCAGATATACCAATGCTATTAGGTTTATATCTTAAAAAACATTTATATGTTGTGCGAGATACGTGTCGGGATGGAACTTTCAACTTAAGTACATTTGTCTCATCTTTAACATACTCAAGATTTATTTCGCCGTCTTTATCAACCATTTCTGCCAAATATGATACCGCTTGAGAAAGTTGATAAGATCCGGTGAATAAAATTTTTAAATCATTTGTGCTCATTTCTGGAAAATCCAAAATGTCATTTGATGTAACTCTTTTGAAACATACTTTTCGGCGGAGCCATCCTTTTTCCTCTATTTCAGTAGCCAAAGTGTTTTGAATATCTTTTTGGTCCTTCATTCTTTGCACAATTTTATCTAAAGTTTCTGCATCAGATTGTAACCTTTTTCCGAAAGTATTATTCAAAAACGCCGCAATTCTAAAATACATTCCAACTTTCGGTATCAATTTATTATCTATCTTATGGTCCAAAAAACGATATTTTTGTTTGAGTACACCGTGAACAGATTCAACTGCCCATCGAATTTTAGTTACAAAACGAGAGTGATTAGATTCTTCCGTGGTCAATTGCTTTCTTTTTCCTTTTAAAGCAGGCATTAATACTTTGAAATTATTTTCTTCTAAGTCATTTACTATATCTCGAAAGCCGCGATCAAGAACAAAGGTATCATTTTTTTTCAAGAATTTGCATAAACCGTTTGGATCTTGAATGATAGTTTTCAGAATTTCCGCATCATTTTGGTTTGCAAGATATGGTCCAAGCATGTCAACCACATATCCGTCAGTTGTACAGATAGTGAATGGCTTACAAAGGGGAACTTTCTTCTGCCCAGAGAAAGATTTTCTTTGATATTCATTATTGGTACTTTTTTGATGTCGTGCATACGTACCGTCATAAATCAAAAATAAATTATCACCAATATCAAACAATTTTTTTGCAACTTCCGTAGTATGATTTTGAATAAGATCATCTCTATTAAGAGAACTTAAGCCAAAACGTTGTGGTAAAACGTCATTTTTAAAAGATTTGATTATACTAGAAGAATATTCTGAGACTACCTGTTCATTTTCTAGTTGTAAAATAGAAGCTAACATTTTATTGGAATTCCCTGTACGTAGTTTGAAAAGAAACACAACGAGAGCTTGGATCACTGAACGGGATTGACTGTTTCGCAATGAAGTCATCATATCTTTTATCTGAATAAGATTTTCCCAAGTTAATCCCGTAAAAACTTCAAGTTGTTTTTCTGACAAACTAAAATCACCGATGTTGTCAAATAATGTCGAATAACATTTGATGGAAAGAGTTTCCATTACTTTAGATAACTCCAACACACTTAGACTCGTTGTATTAGAGTGTACCTTCAAAAGATCAAGTTCTTCTTCATATATTCGATTTTTTATTACGTGAGTTCGACAACATCGGTTTCCAGCTGGAATGTAAATTTTCTTTTTCATGTAAGATTGCATTTGAGCTTCATCAGGAATTACAGTTAGGTTTTGTATGGAAAAGCAAATACAACAGTATTTATGTGTAGCAACAGTCCTCTGAATAGGAATTTCAACATATTCAATCTCAGAAATAGCTTCCTTTGATTTCAACTGAACTTCGAATGTTGGATCATCGGAAGTCGATTCAAAGGAAGGAAGATCATTTTCGGTTTCTAATGTAGGATCTATTTCGGGTTTCTGCTTCCTATAAATAGAGAGTCGACATTTACTACATATAATATCGTTGACAATTATATTTTGTTGAAGTAAATGAGCAAAAGTATTTGCTTCATCCTCGTGACGTATCAATTTTTTTTTACCTCTTATTTTCTTTAAAGACTTGTCACAACCAGCACATTTGGAGTGCATGGTTAACGCCGTAGACATTTTTGAATAACCAAAAAATGTACAGAAATAAATGATTCAATAAGTTCGATAAATCGAATGTTATAATCTTTTATATAAGGATACAATCGAATGTTATATCTTTTATATAAGGATACAGTTCATAAAAGCAAAAGCGAAAAATACACAACGATTGTGTACGATCGCCGCCATCTCCGAATCTAGTCTATCTCAACGCTAGCAGCGCGACTGCCATTTAGGCAATGACTGCCATGAGACACCATATGTAAACAAGGAAAAGCTACAGAACAGTCGCGAGTCGCGACGCAGTTTCGCGAGAGCAATGTTTCAAACATGCGAAGCACGAAAATCGATTTGTGAGAGGCAAGGGGGACTCACAATAAAAAAGCACCCTGACGGGGAGTTTAAAAACGTACTTCAACCTCCTCGCGGTAAACTCTGGAAACTATATTGTTTATAGGCTAACTGCAGACGTCCATAATAGAAATATTGTTATTAATAAGTTAGAATACATAATTTCTTTTTAACTGTTGAGAATTTTCATAAAATAGAACTGTTTATCTTTATCCGGTCTGTTTTAGATAATTTTATAATAATCTTTTTTTCACCGAAACGTAACATAAAAATACATGTGAACATTTACTTTAGCTGAATGAATGCATAAGTAAAAATCTTAATTTTCACCAACTTTGATGGCAATTAAACAATACAACAGGGATAGAAGTTCTCACACTAACCAGCGCTGTGCGGCGAAGTACACCGCGGTGCTGCGCGCATGATTTTAATTTTTTTTA